ATTTCCCTGAAATGGCATTCATGTAGTTGAACAGATTAGACAGACGATAAAATAACTCAAAGGAACCACATATTATATCAGCGGCCTAATGTGTCCTCACCTTACGCAGCCTTTTGAATTTCATTTCATTTGGTTGTTCAATGATGTTCCTGAACCACAAAAACAAACGTTGTATCTTCAGTTATATATAAGATTGGAGTTACAGTCTACAGACACGCTTATAAGTTTCCAAGAGCTGAAAAAAGGCACCTCACTATTTTGAGAAGCATTTGTAACACATTGGTTGCTTGACCGGGGCTAACTTCATTTTTCAAGGCATTTATGGCTTTCTTGAGACGGTTAGAGATGATGGTAACAGAGTCTTGGATCCTCTGAATTTCTTGATCATCTGGATCCGGCTCATAAACCTCCATGATTGTTTCCCTCTCTCTGACCACCAGGTTAGAGTCATGATACGGTTCTGCATTATTAGGATCAGATGTATCCTGCATAGCTTCATCTGCATCCAAATTCCCACCCAACATTACAGTGTCATTTGCTATTTTCATATTTTCACCTTCCCCTATACTTGTGTGTGTGTTTCCGAGTCATCCGGATCAGGTTCATCATCTTCAGTAGGATGGGAAAGATCACTTGCCATTTCATATGATCCTGAGTGATGTTCAGGTGCAGCAGATGCATCTCTAGGATTTGATGGGATCCATGAATGACCTGATTCGATTTTGGTTGCATCATCTTCAGTGGTATCATCGGGATCAGGCTCAAACTTACTCATCGAATCAGACTGAGCTTTAGGGAGAACAGGCTGTTTATTCTCATCACGAACATTAACCAAGTCCTCAGGATCAGGTTCTTCGCTGAGTTTCGAAACACTTGTGTGGGAGAGACGGCGATAAGCAGCAGCAACCGACGATTCACAAGCATTTCCAAGATTATCAGACTGGTTTCCACCAAGCCTTTGAGAAACATTTTCATTTTCATCGAAGAAGTAGTCTTCCTCATCATCGTCATTGATAAATTTTGTTCCATTCAAAGTGTGACCCCTTGATTTAGTCCAATCTAAGCTTTCAGCTTCTTTGTTCAACTGCCACACAAATACTCATTCATAAAATCTCCACCAAAAATAAATTTGAGATAAACAATAACATAAACCTTCACTGTTGTTTATATATTACCTGGCTATCAAGAGCATAAAAGTTTTCATCATGCTCCGTGTATATCATGTGAGCCTGACATTTTGATTCAGAGAATATTAGCTCTCAAATTCAAATTTGTGCAGAAATGTTTATAGTTTTCAGGGATAAGAATTCAAGTTTGCAGAGTAATGAACTTACAAGCTCATGCAATAGAGTCTTTTTTATGCTCTGATACTTTCTGAATCCCTTGAGATCATCAGTCCGAAGGCGTAGAGAAATCTCCTCTCCTTGATTCTATATCAGCCAATGCAGAACATTTGAGAAGTAGAAATCAGAACTGACTCTGGAACACACAAAAGAAGTGAGTGTGTTCTTATAGAAAAAACATGCGTACCTTGTTAAACCCCAGAAGGCATCGGGGACTAACACCAACATAACCAACTGGGGCAAGTTCAGTCATAATCCCTACTCTCCATCGATGCTACAAATATAAAACAGAATCTATTAGTACAATATCGATAAGTGGACCTTTGCATTATAAGTTGCTCATAAATTTAGATATAACCTTGTTCATAACAGCGATAATACCAGGGTCAGCTGCAAGCATGTGCATTCTCTTTAAAGCAGCAGAAGGGGGAGGGTTTAACTACAGGAACAAACATCACATGTCAGCAGAATTCGAATTCGTTAAACGGTCAAATTATCAGGAAACAAGTTCATCGAATTCATACCACAAGTAATGTTATGGCAAAAGATACAAAATAGCTAAAGTCTACCATGACTTAATCTACCTTCAGCTAACTCAAAAGAGGGAAAATGATGGCTACGTTGACGTTTGGCTACAAAAATGTAAGCATAAATGTTAGACATGGCAATTCAGAGAATTACTTACCTCTATACCCGGGAGTTGAAGAGTGCGGAAATCACAGAAGATGTAAGGCCCCTGTGGAAGCTTGATTGAAGCGCTTGAAACATACTTCTTTTGTCTAAGCCTTCTCTCTTCTTCCTCAAAGCCAATTATCCTCATGTCAGGCACTGCCTCTTTTAAAACTCCATCAATCTCTTCTTCAGACACTCCCATCATTCTGATAGTTTTATCCTAAAAAACAAAAAGAAAGTACCAAGAAGAAGTATATTTAAAACACATTTGACAAGTTTTGGAAAACTGGGTAATGAGACGAAACTCATAAACCTTGCCAGGAGCTGTATCGATATTGCAACACAATCAATGGTTTAACTGATAGACTATTAGTGAGAGAAGTAAGGGATTTTCATCAATTGGTTAGTGGAAGCTTTAGGTTTTGTTCTTGTGTTCTTGACTTGTTGATTGTAACCACTAATTCATGATCAATTAAGGAACAATCATTTCTGTTCTTATCATTAGTCTCAAGCAAAATCGACCTAAGGAAATGAACAAGAGTGAATTTTCTCCTACTCTGCTATATACCATTAAGCTATAACTACAAGACTAATGGCAAAACCGACTTATCTCTTAGCTTTAGGTTTTACGAGATTATGATATCTCTGAACAAATCTCTAGTGTTTGTTCTTCTTGATTGTAACCACCAATTCATTATCATAAAGGAAGAATGTTTCCTGTGCTTATCATAAACCTTAAGCAAAATCTACCTAAGAAAATGAACAAGTTTGAATTTTTGGCTACTCTACTACATATCAAGAATTCCAATACACCCTTAAGCTATAACTACAACACTAATGGCAAAATCAACTTATCTCTTAGCTTTAGGTTTCAGGACAACAAATATATAGTGTTCTTGTCTTGTTGATTGTAACCACCAATTCATGATCAATAAAGGAAGACACTTTTATGTTCTTACCATTAACCTTAAGCAAAATCCTACCCATAACAATGAACAAGATTGAATTTTTGCCTACCTCGCTACATATCAATGCACTAATTAAGCTATAACTACAAGACTAATTGCAAATTCTGATTTATCAAACCTCTCCAACTAATCAGACAAGAACATTTGTCTGAATCAAAAACAAAGACTAACCTCAATTATGTGTGATTCCTGCAAACTCAAGCTCGAGTGTTCATCAGAAAAGGGTAAGATCAATCTTGATCCTTTTTCATTCAACCGAGGAACGATCAAACGGAGAGTCTCCGACGTAACGCCGGTTAACTTTCTCAATTCATAACCTAAATCCTTGAGAGAAGCTCCAGAATCAATCTCAACAGAGTAATTGTTTCCTTTCCAAAGAACAGAAACTCTCATTGGTTTTCTAGAATCTTCCATGCGATGAGAGAACTCTAAGCTATTATTATCGCCAACGCCCATAGATTAGCTAAATCTGAAGCACGAGAATTTGTGACGAAATCGAATCATATAGCTGATCAAATTCTTCAATTTAGACAGAACCGCAAAGACTAGTATGTTAGAACAAATCTATTATCCAATGGACTTGTTGAAGAAGAAACGAAGTTCTCTCTCTCTCATGATACGTATGCACATACGATGAATGACGTAATCGAATGTTCTGTTTTTTCTTTTTCGGTGCAAAGAACTACAGTATAAATTTTCGGTTTTGGTTCAGCTCAGTTTCGGTTTGTTCAGATCAGACATCGTAATACAATAACCATTCCGATATTTTAAAAATTTTGTTTCGGATCGGTTTGGTTATGTTTTGGTTCGGTTAGGTTTGGATGTTTGAGTAGATAACTGAAATTAACCGAATATAACCTAAATTAATCAAAATTTTATCAGGTTCGGTTTAGTTTGGTTTTTTATCCAAAATAATAGAAATTAACCGAATATAACCGAAATTAACCAAAAAATTACAAAAAAATGAAAAATTAGACAGAAAATTAAAATTTGGTTCAATTTTGTAAAATATTCTTTAATTTGGATATGTTGCTTATATAAAGTATTTGATTGTTTTTATTCTAAAATTAATTAATATTTTAAGTTTATAATTATAGTTTTGTGTATTAATTTTTGGGTATTCACTAGGTTTTGGATATTTCGGTTAACCGTTTAGTTTGGTTTGATTTCGGTTAGTTTGGATAGGAGATTTCACTAACTATTCGGTTATTTTATGAACTTCGTTCAATTACAGTTTTTTCCTTCAGTTTGGTTCGGTCGATTGTTTCGTTACAGTTTTTTTTTCTCGAGGCCTTTCATACATACAATTTTGGACCTGATTGTAGAGGTAATATTGGGTAAACTCTAGATTTTTAGTTTTTGCCCAATTTAGATATAATGCGTCAAATATCTGAAATTGGTCCAAAACTAAGCTTATCAGCCATCTAAATTTGAGAATTAGACAATACTTATCCAAACAAAAATTTCTCACAAATTTATCAATTACGGTAAAATTGAATTCTATGAAAATCAATTTTTATTAGAAATGGCATCACATATATAGAAATCAAGTGGTTAAGTCCATTTGACTCCGCCTTCTCCACCGGAGTTCGACTCCAGTAAGTCGCGTTACCCCGCGTAGTAGGGATTGGCTATGGATCGGGCCTTGTCGATCCAAAGATGTCAAAAAAAAAAAAAATATAGAAATCAAACATATAAATATTTTATTTCAGAAAAAGTATTTTGAAACGTTGCATGTATTTATATTAAAATAAAAAGAATAAATGTAACATCCCGGTTTTAGGAATATGGTGGTGCATGCGGAGAGGTTTAAAAGAATTGATTTGACCACCTATGTCACCAAAGTGCAATTATCTTTTCAGTCAACTGGCCTGAAAGAACTCCACAGTTAAGGGTGCTTGAGCTTGAACAATTTCAGGATGGGTGACCTTCCGGAAAGTGATTGTCGGAACTGTGTGAGTGAGGACAAAACACAGGAAAAGATCATGTGGTGATTTGTAAGGTCGGTAAACAAGTCTTCAAAGCCTCCCGGACGTAGCAGACCGACAATCGGACACTGGTGGACCCACGGACCGATAGAGGATGTAGGACCCATTAAGAGAGGTGGTGGTCGGAGCGTTACATAAAGATATCTACATTTCAGTATATAAATATATAAATATTCTATGACTATTTTGAAATAACTTGAGGTCATAGAATGGATATCTTAAAATTGATTTAAGATCAAGATTATATGTTTGATTGAATAAGTTACATAGTCATAGAATGGATATTTCAAAAATGATTTAAGATCAAGGTGATAGGTTCAATGAATAAGTTACTTACTCACTATGTTGCAGCTGATTTGTTGGTGAATATGAGAATATTAAATTAATAACTAATACACAAATTACACAATCTCTATATGAAGTAACTCTATCTAAATCCTACCCAAAAAAAAAGTAACTCTATCTAAAACATGCATGCCTTAGCAATATCACTAACATTCACATTCAGAAAAAAAACACATGTTTAATACAAAACAGTTAAGCTTTGATTCTCTTTGATTATTAATTAGTATCTTTTATAAACCCTTTTCAATCAATGACAACTCATTTAACCAAAAAAATTAACAAATTTGTTGTTGATTATGGATATTCTAACCTAATATAAATTAAATACCACAATCCCTATATAAGTAAATCATATTGTACTCCAATAACATTCACAATCAACAAACACTTTCCATAACCTTCTATAATATTCAATCCTCTCAAGAAAAAAAAAGAAAAAAAAACAAAGAAGAACTATTTGTACTCATAGAAAATGGAGAACAAAAAAATGGGCGTATTTTTGGTGATGATGTTGATGATTGGAACCCTTATGGTTGAATCGAAGGCAATAGAAAATACTCCAGTCGTTTTAAAACAAGATCCTATATGCTATCTTAAATGTTTTGAACTGTGTCTTCTTAATCCAATCTTTCTAATCAAAAACAAATGTCCTAAAAAATGTGACAAGAAATGTGTGGAACATTTTTCTGAAATAATACCAAAAACAAATCGACCAAATTGATATTTCTGCAAAACCGGTTGTGTTTCTATCGAATATCAAAGTAAGTTTATCGCAAGCTTAATCTTCATTTAAAATTTTAATATGGCTCATAAAGCTGCTTTTGTGATGCTTATATATTTATATAATATACAATATTATGACTCTTTTTAAATATTAAAGTTTATCTTTATTGTTTCTGGTATTATATGTTATGAACAGATGGGAGAAGTATGCAGCAGCATGTATTAGTTCTTGTTCAAAAATATGCAATAAAAAATCTAATAGTAATAATAATTTTATTTTACTTCTTTTAAAAAAAAAATTGTTTTACTTTACATTAAAGACAATAAATCTCGCCGTTTGTGGAGATCTTAACAAGTAGTTCAACCAACAAAAATATATGATGTATTTTCTATATTTACTATTTTTCTTATCTCAAATAATAAAAGCTTTTAAGTAATGTAGTAAATTTATATAAAATATAATATGAGTAAATAAAGTAAATCTGATGGCCTAAATAAATATATAGCTAGTGTCACAAAATTTGTAGTTCTCAAAAAAGAATTTGGTGGGTATTAGCCTGCTTGTCTTCTCAACCTAATCTTCTATAGTATACTCCCTTTGTTCCTAATTGTTTGATGTTTTAGAATTTTCACACATATTAAGAATTCAATCATTGTTTAATCATTTTAACATTGTTTTTAATTTTAAATATTTTTAATAATTATCAACCAATAGTAGTCTAAGAAAGTTAATGATTTATAATCATTATATCTTGAAGTTTACTATTTACTTATTATAAGTCAATAAAAATCAAATAAAATGCTAGAAAATCAATCTTTTAGGAACAGAGGGAGTATTTGACAAACAATATATAAAAAATAGAGAAATTTATAAAAACAGGCACTTTTGATGAGAGAGATTCGGAAACAGGCATTACTATAGTGAAAGGTACCACATTGCACACAAACATCACTGTATCTGACTATTTTGCCCTTCAACTTAAATAAGCGAGATTTTTCTTTTTTTTCTGGTACCAATGTGATAAAAGACATAAGCAACAGAAGAAGCTTGTTTTGGTTATCAAATAAAAGCGATAAAAGACAGTGTTTTTGGTCCAAAGCTACATATTTGTTTTATGCACAATCTATGTATTGAGAGATGAAGGGAGAAGCTCTCCATATATTGTTGAAAGAAATGACTGTTTGACTTTGAGAGATGAAGGGAGAAGCTCTCCATTCTTCTTCATCTATCCACGTCCATCTTCCCATGTTATCGGTATCTTTAGAAATTAGCTGAACCCAAAGAAAACGAATTTAACGACCCGGTGGTATTGAAAACTATACCCTAAAGCCAAGGCAGATGACTAAACCCAAGGGAAACCAATTTAACTTTGCGGATGTATTCAAAACTATATACCCTAATGCCAAGGCAGGTGACTAAACCCAAGAGAAAGCAATTTAACTTTGTGGTGGTATTCAAAACTATACCCAAATACAAGACATATGAATGAACTCAAAACGAAACCAATTAAACTCGCAATCATAAAGTGCACATTGCCAAATACTATTTCCTTACCGTTAGACAAAGAGTTCCATTCCTCAGTGATTGTTGAATCTAAACGAATGAGGAAGACGAGTTAAGAGAGCCAAGCAATGGAATCTTACCTGTAAATGGTACATGATTTCTGAAAGTGAGAACCTCAAACACTTCTCATCATCAATCTCTTTGACCAAAAAACCAGTCACCCACGCATCTTTATAATCAGCTTCAACGATGGAACCTATGTTGATACTAATTTTCACAAAATGAGATTCAAATCAGAGATCGTTTAGAAGCTAATGGGGTTTTAAACAAGTAGCTCTAAGAATTGTAAAATTGAAGAAATTGAGATCAAAATTGTGGTTTCAAGGAGGCTTACACAGATACGGGAGGTGGAGAAGAGAGGAACTCCGGAGGAATCAAGGAGAGATTTCAAGGAGGAAAAAGATTTACGGAGGATAAAGACGAGATTTTCGGAAGAATCGGTAAATCCGAGATCACTGGTAGAAAGTAGAAGGATGTTATTAGAAGCGAGAGATCAATTGGTATTCGTCGGAGTCGGAGTACCTGTTCTCCCAAAAAGTGAAGCTTGCGCATGGAAGAGAGAGTAGCAGAATGACATCAGAGAGAGGAGGGAAATTCAGTCAATTCGCTGGCTTTCGATGCCTAAATCGTGACAGCATTTGGAAAGTGCCGAAAAGCGAAAGGCACTTGATGCCTTATTTTAAAATAACTCTAAAAAATAAATTGAAGTATTGACACATGAAAATCAAGTAGTCCGGAAGTGAATTCGACCAAAATAATAATAAGCTGTAGAGAAATATAGCTAGACAGTTTGAACCATTGAAAATTATAAACTGTTTTGAACTGTGTCTTCTGAATCTATATTGTGTGTAAACATTGGACACAAACAACAAAACTACTTGTTACAAATAACATCTTGTTGTTGCATCGAAACATATAAATATTGATTAATCTAACAATGAATTTGGTAAAATGGAATGGTTGATAATTTAAAAATTAGATTATTCAAGAATACACATTAAATGAGAAGATTACACATTTAATTTCTGATAGTAGATCCATAATCAAAAAAGTGTTTTTGATTGTTCCAGAATAAATGAAACAAAAGATTCGGTAGAGCTAAATTATATGAGATCCACCCAATGCTAAATACAGAGGCGTATAATAGATCAATATGAACATCATGAGCTATCCCGCAATAAAACCAGTTGTTGCTGATCTTTCTTCTCGGTTCCTTCTGTATATGATTCACAATATTAAATGTTATTGTTTTCTGCCTAAAACAGTTATATTTCGAGTTTAGACCGGTGATAAACTCGATTCATAAACAAAAATGAAACTGGAAAGGAAAAAAAAAACTATATTTCCCACCAGTGTTCAACAAAAAAAAAATGTCCAATAAATAAAATAAAATAAAGTAGAACTTTCACAATTCAAAAATGAGGTTTACGTACACAATGTAAAACTTGTGTACCAAAACCCTCTTTGTTTGTATACATCAAACCTTGTTCTTCTTTCTTTCTTTAGGTTTCCTTTGTGCCAATCAAAACTTCACGCAATAAACCAAAAACAACGATCAAATTCAAACGCGTTATGCATCTTTATTATTCTCACCATCAACTTCATCCTCATCTTTCTCTGCCTTCGTCAGCAATTCTTGGTCTTGGACAGTGGGACTGGACTCAGAAGCCCCATCAATGGACAAATTGGAGATTTCACCAGCAACAGAGTTTGCGTCGCCATCATCAGTGGCGTCTTCTGAGACAGTAGACTCTGTGTCTGATTGTTGTTGGAGGCTCCAGTACATGATGCTGGCTGCCAAAATAAGCATCATCTTCTGGTTCACCTGTTTTTACGCAAGTAGATTTGAGTCAGAGAAACCGGAAAAACAATCAAGCCTGTTTCAATAGGTGTATCTCTCTTACCTCTATGATATCCTCAGGCAACAAGAATATGGAGCATCCGAGCTTTCGTGCCACACTGATGATGTATGTGGCATTCAACTTCTTATCTTCCTCTGTTTAAATGCCAATTACAATCAGATAGAACTCACGCTTTAAAACAGTACTGACAATTAAAAAAAGACTTTACACCAAAGAATAAGAAGCACCCAATAAAAATAGGTAATGAAGTTAGAAATGTCATAATTTTACCTGTTTCTCCGTTGGTAACGAGGCTCCAGTTGACAACTCTTGGCTCTACCGCACTAAGAAGTTCCAGAAAGAACATTCCACTTGACAGATTCTTGTCCTAATATCAGAAAAAAGCAACCATTAAACTGTTAGGTTTCTGAAGATGGGTCTCCATGAATCACATCCGTACTTGGTTAACACTTACCCTGAAGCTATCAGCCTGACTAGTTCGGCCCCCTCTCTTCACTTTCCTATTCGCCCAGTTAAGAATATCTACATCTGTAATTTCTTTACCTTGCGAGTGAGATCTCAAGTTCCTCAGAAGTTGGAGCATTGTATATCTCATTAGTTGCCACAAAAAAGCTGCAGAACCAATGGTGGTACAAGTAATTACATACTACTACCAATCAAAATCAAACTATAGCAGATGCAACTTTCAAGAGAAGAAACGACAGAACAAAACAATACTAACAGTTATGAATGCGAGAGCAAAATCTTAAGCTGATGAGTCTGATATATGAAAGTGCATGATCCATTAGTGTGCCTTTTAGGAGAACTCACCGAGAAGAAGTTTCTTATTTCCTTGCACAATGTCATTCCCAGCTACATTGACAAGGGAAAAGCGCAGATCCTTCCCAATCTTTATAACTTCATTGCAGTTCTCAACCTTTTTGAATGGCATTTTTATGGGAGGTTTATTTGCGTGTTTCCAGTTGACCGAGCCAGGTGAAACTTTGTCGAGAACTTCAAGAAGAACCCACCTGAAGAAGATGAGGTTTAGATAAAAGCAGATAAAAAAAATAAAATGTCATCAAACAAATCTCCATAGCTCACCCATTCCTAAGATCCTCAAAAACATTATTGACATAAGTGGCTGTGCCAAGACTGTTAATCCAGAGGCGGAAACATCTTTCTTCTCGTGAAGTTTCCACATCATCTGTCATCATCTCAGCAAATGAAGTCTTTGAATCGTCAACAGTCAATCCATTCCTGCAACAAACAAAGTAGCACTTATGTAGCAGAACAGAAATCATTATCAGCTTTTCTCTTACTCATTTGGAAACTCCGTAAAAACACTATCAGAGACATAATCAAATGCAAAGAATGCCACATTTTATCACGCACACCATTGGGATTTTGAGATAGCTAATAATCCAAAAACCACTGAGAAGATGGACTCAAATTGTTTAAAGCAGCCAGTGGCTACAGACCTGTGCTGAAATATTTGCGCCACAAATGCAAGGTTAAGATTTGCTGAGCCGTCCACTATGTCTTTAGGAGAAAGGTATCGTTTACAATCCAGCTTCTCAGCCTGCTCAAGAACCTTTTTCGCTCTTTCTGTGGGGTCTTTGGTCTCCAATGCCACATGTGTACTGTGTTCTGGAGCAAGGGCATTAAGCAGATATGCATATGCCTCACCGTCCTGAAAACAGAAAAATAAGCTGATGTTATGATCAACAAGAAATTGGACTCCATAAAATTTTTAGTTGCTAAACAAATCATGAACAGGTACCTAAAACAAGGAAAATGCATCACTGTCAAGACTGTTATAAAAGATATATGCTATTGAGGACAAAGAGAGCAAGGGCAAGTTACCTTCACATCAGAAGAAAAATTTGTAACCTGCTTTTCATAACCAGCTTTCTTTAGATGGAAATTCATCCATTTTAGCAAAACTTTTTCGGGAGCCAGTCCCATGAGCTCCTCCGCATCCTGCATCGTTATGAAGATTTTATGTTGTTTCAATATCATGAAAACAAATCTTCAAGGAAAGCGTTGAACACGTCAAATATATTTACCTGAGTGTCGTCAACCAATTGAAAAAGTGAAGGCGTTTTCTTAAAATTGAGATCAGCCAACATTTGGATCTGATATTTTGCACCAAGAACACCAAAAATGTCAGGAGTTAGTACGGTTTATAACAAGTCACTTAAACAAAATGTAGCCATCATATGAAACCTATAAATGGAAAAGCTTAAGGTGGGTACCTTTATAATCTGAGATATCAACCCAAGTACGAGATATGGCTGCAAGACAGAAAGAAGAAGGAAAGGACCAATTAAAATTGAAAGATCAAGCAAAGAGAGGAACAAAAGATATATGTATATCATGTAATTACTCACTCTTCCTTCAGCTATGTCCTGTGTTCCAATGTTGACCACTGTGCAGCCAATAGCTTTGGCAGAATTGAGACCTAAAGTAAGGTTCTCATTCCTCTCCCAAGGGTTAAGCGTTTTCTTTGTGTTGATAGCTCGTTCATCGATGGTCCCAGGAACAGCAACATTTATAAGCTTACTGCCAAAAAGTGACAAAGATGACTACTAACAAAATTTCACAACTAACAGTAAAAATCAAGGACCAAAGTAAAAACATACCACAAAAGAACACCATCTTTAACAAGATCAAAGAAAGCATTAGTTGCGGGATCGATAGGAAGATAGCTCTTCAAGAAAGGATCATCTCTCAAGTAATTATTGATATGGGAAACATAGGAAGCCTTCTCGGATTCATTGATGGCATGATGAACCGTTGTAGTACTGGTTTTGAGGAATGAAGAAGAACCTTTAGATCCTCCTGTTTTTTCAACTCCTCGGGCTTGCACATTTAAAAAGGCCTATCGAAATCATCGATACATGTCACATTAAAACAGGAAAAAATGACTTCCTAATCATCTAAAAATCTTCAGACTCATAAGTACAAAACTCACCCGGAGAAAGGTCTCAAAATCGACTTCTTCGTCAGCATTGGAATAAGACTTGTCCAATACAGATTTGATCTCATCCTCATCAATGGTACCGTTAAAAGCTTTCAACTTTGAGAACACAGGTGGTAAATCTCCGACAGTAAAACGCTCTAATTGAGTTTTGTTCGAAACAAACTAACAATGCACAAAAAAATAAATCTTTCAACACACAAGGTAATGTAATGATACTCCTGAATCAAAAGAAAAGATGCGATCTTAGATATATATATATACCTTAGATTTAAGGGTACGCAATTCCACTTGTGTAAATTGGCTCTGTAACCATGGATCAGAGACAAGAACACCAACGTAACTAGACATTTTCTATCGATTTCTCTCCGCAGAATCAAGACCAGATAGAGAGACAAAACAAATCCCTGCAACATAAAATGTCTTTAATCAAACAGGAACCAGAAAATTTGTACAGAAAAAAGACCAAACTTTTGACCCAGAAGATCAAAATGGCAATTCGATAAACAAACACGCAAAGCAACGATTTTGAGATAATTATGGCGTTGATAAATCGATCCGATGTAATGGGAAGAAAAGACGATGATCAAAATCAAACTTTAAAAGAGAGGAGACGATGGATAATAGACCTTAGAGAAGATTCAGAGATTGAATGTGATTGGTGTTCATATTATTTCTGCGGATAAAGTTTTGATCTTTGAAGCTCAAAGAGATCTATTTGGAAATAATGAATTTGTGTTGAGTTTTTCGAGCGCACGA